CCCAGATCGGTCGCGCTGGCCTGCGTGCGTTGTGAAGTTCTTACATGTTTGTAGCACGCATGTTAAACCCCAATGTCGCGTGGGCACTGCGTGCGTTGTGATATTTTACATGTTTGTAAGGCACGCAATGTGGTTATAACGTACCCCCGGTGCAGCGGCTGGCCAGTGGGTTGCAGGCCCAATGTATGTGCCGCCGGGCAGCGGCCCTCGCGGTGCTTTGTGAAGTTTTACATGTTGTGAGCGCGCCATGTTAACCCAAGATGTCGCGCGCTGCGTGCGTTTGTTGAAGTTTTACATGGTTTTTAGCTACGCATTGTTACCCCAGATGTCGCGTGGCGACGACGTGCGCGTTGTCTGAAGTTTGTACATGGAGTTGGTACGCACGCATGTTCACCCCAATGCTTTAACCGCCAATGCTAATGAGATCGGTGCTATATCGTCATTGTTTCCGTAAATCAGTATATACTAAGGTTGCCGTCTACGTGGCGGCTCTGGCTGTGGCTTAATCAGGAGTGTGATAATATAGACATCGTCTAACACATTGTCAATTATGCCTCACACTGCTGGTTCTAGCAGAGAAGTACTGCGACTTGCGCAGGCGTCAGCTCTAAACTGTGACACACCAATGTTTTATTTGGGCCCCAGCACGTGCCACGCCGCTCCGCTGCTGCCATGTTAACGGGTCTCGTATATTGGGTATTCCGGGTCACGCAGTTGCATTGCGTATATCGTGGTCGATGAGCGAAATAACAGAAAAAACTACGCACACACAAGCGTGCCAGAGCGCGAACGCGAACAGACGCTACATACATGGTACGAGGCGACACACTGGCACGGCACCAGTCACCGGAGGCACGCAGTGCACAATACAGTAGTCATAATACAAGCACAGGCGACACCGCTCCAGCACGGGGGGAGTGCCGGACGTATAGGCACGCATATACATAACATATTCACACGACGGCAGCGCGCGACACACAGCATCACACACACACCAATCACCATCACGCACAGCACGCACGCGACATAACATATTATATCATCACCACACCACCTCACTCACGCACGCACATTACATACATACATACATACATACACCACACACAGGAGCACACACACGACACAACCATGGGCACAACTCACCCACCGCACCATACATACATATACACACACACCCACAACTCACGCCCTCACGGCAGCGGCACGGCACATCATACATATACAACAACTGCACCCCTCACGGCACACACGGCGTTGCGTAAGGGGGTACCGTGCGCACATACATACATAACACGCACACACCACACACACCCCATCACACACACACACAACACTGACCCCCACTCACGCGCACACGGCATACATTAACATACATATACACACACACACTCCCACTACGCACGGGCACGCACACAGGGACGTCCACAGCACACACACATCACACACTCACGGCACTGTCTCTCTGTCCATCTCTGTCTCCCTGTCCTCTCTGTCCTCTGCTGTCCTCCTCTTTTCTCCACGCCTTTTCAGACTCCTGGGCGACATGAGGCTCATTTGAAACTCCCCCCATGTCGCTCCGGTTAGGTCGCGCCCTTCTGGCTCATCTTCCTCCAGATGTCCATTCTCTTCTTGAGTTTCGCCTCCAGGTTGACTTATTGCCTTCCTACCCGACAACTTCTTTGCGGGTTCCAGCTCAACGCTCGCTGCCGTGTTTATGTCAGTCGCTTCCTTGCCGCAGTGTGTGGCCAGACCAGCCCCCATTTCTTTTTCTTCATTTGATTCGATTGAATGAGGCTTCGTCTTTTCGCGCAGAGTTCTTTATTTGTGATGGTGCGCGCAAAATATTTCTGAGGAACTTCTTCAAGGCATTAATACGCAGAGATAAATAGACAAATTTGTTATTGATATTTACCCCCAATGTTACTCACCAACGAACGTAATATGCATACATGACGCCATGTTATTACTGTAACGAAAGTAAAATCAACGGACTTTTTATTGACGGCCGTGTCCCGTTTCTTCGTGTATATCTCGGTAGTGATTGGGCTCCGCATACATTATTATAGCTTTGAAACATCAGAGCACTCTGTTATCGACCGTACGTACTCCCTCACAGCTTGCTCAGCCACTCTGTAGTTACAGAGTGATAAATGTTTCACTGTCGATTAGAGCGTTATAGTGAGCACCGAGGCCGCAAACAGAATTTTTTTTTATTTATGTCGGGGCAACTTCGACAAATCTACGGTATACACTCGCGATTCGGTAGTTGTCGTGATCAGGGTTTACTAAGTAACGAGTGTTATAGACGGGGAGGACAAGACACGTACCCGCGTGTTTGACAGGTCGACCAGAAACCGTCCTGATTATGTCTTTTTTTACCTAATGAGTCAATGCAAGAGCAGAGCCACATTGACAAATAAAGTTGTAAAAGATATTGTACCGATATAGGACGTGGTACCATATTATGGGCATGTATGCACACACACACGACCACGCCCACGCACGCAGCGCAACGCACAAGCACGCACGCAACGGCACACACGAGACATAAAACCTTAATACTTTAGGCAAACTGTTGCTCAAAATAAAGGGTAGTACAGTGTCTGAATTAGATAAGCACAGTTAGTGTTCATCAATAAATAGCTATCCATACAAGATATTGACAATTTTGCTCTGTATTAAACTATAAGCACCATTTATAACATACAAGAATAACAGTGAAGATAACGACCTCTATATGGATTGTGTTGTCGTGCACGCGCGCGTGCGGCGGCGCGCGATGTGTGTGTATGTGCGCGTGCCGTGGCGTGCGCGGCCGCGCATGTGTGGTGTGTGCGATCGTGCGCGCATGTGTGTGTCTGTGTGTGCGTGTGTGTGTGTGTGTGTGTGTGTTGTGCATAATTAAAAGAACAAAATATTTAATGATAAAATTATCGATTTTTTGATAAATTCGTTAAATACTAAAATAAAATTTTTTAAGATGATTAAAGGCCAATCAGAATCGCACGAATGTTTTCAGGGAATCAACTGCGTTGACCCGAAATATTGTCCCTGTATCCACGGAAACAGATTTCACCAAGTCGGTGAAAGTAGAAGACATAAATGCAACACCTGGTAAGTCAAAATTAATAACTTATAAAAGTGTTAAACAAATTAAAATAAATTATTAATAAATTAATAATTCACTGGTAAGTAGTTTTGGCGTAAAAAAATCACATGTTGCACATTTGAAGAAGTCTCACA